AGTCAGTGTTCATTAAACTTCTTTATTTCCAACCATCTTGCATTTCATTTAGAGCAGGCTGTGTCGTCCCTGATCAAACTACTCATCTCAGTGTGTGTGCTTTCTGGAAGGCCCTTTTGCTCTTCTAGTTGAATTGGTGCTTCCAAGATGGGCCTTGCACCAGTACCAGCACAGAGTATAGGGTTTTCAATCAAGCATTTCTTATGGGGGGTCTTTTCTGGTGCTGTGCACACCCACACCACCTCTTCTGGGAGGTTCTGACTGCAAGGTATGTCTTGAAAATCAAGCTTTACTGGGACAAAGACATCCTCAAAATGGAAACACAGAAGCTTGAGAGTGAGTCACTGCAGGCAGCAGCAGAAAAAAGAGAAGAAAAAAAGCAGCATTGCTAACTAGCTGTTTGACAGAGATTGCCACTAAAGAGTCAGCACTGATTGGCAGCATCAGGCTGCTTATTATAGCCAAATGTCCCTGCTGTACCCTCAAAAGGCTGTTGTATTTACTGACCTCACAGCATCCTCAAGGTAGAGCAGCAGAAAGTGTGACAACCTCAGCCACCAAGCATGAATGAAAAACAAACAAACAAAAATCAATCTGTTTCTCAGAGGTCCCCCTCACACCACAAAGCAATAGGATTGACCTTAACCCTCTGCAGTTTGAAAAAGTGACACAGTTGACTGAGTTGAATGGAACATCTTTCCCCAAGGAGAGAGTTATCTTAAATCCCATACTACTGCAAGGTGCATGTCACCTCCTGACCTGGTCAAGAAGCTTTCAGGCTGTACACTGCCATTGCTTTGCTAGGTGGAATGCAGTAAAGTTAACCACATTTGTCTCAATTCTTACGATTTTCATTTTCCATCTTAAAATTATTTGGCTCAATTCTCTCTCTACTCATTTATAATAGTGTAAGCTAGGAGTAGATCAAAGTTAATAGGATTATGTTAAATGTATGTCATATCTAAATCAGATCCATTCTATTCATGTCTTTCAGAAATCTTGGAACAATTTCTGGTCACAAACGCAGTTTTAGTTAAGCATAAGCAGTTAGCATTAGACACAGTGTTCAGATTCTAAATTCAAGTAACTTTTATTGAAATAGAGTAACTAACCCCTCTACAACTCTTCCATACTTATCTCTAACAGCCTGTTCAAAATCTAAAACTAAGGATGTCTGATTAGAGCAAGAAGTACATCCTCGTTATGGAGGGCTTAAGGAGTGCAAAGCACAAGTATAACATTCTGCAGAATTAGCTGATGGGTTAAAATCGTGTTTTCATACTGAACCGAATCCTCTTGGACAAATGTAGGTTAGCTCCCTGAATCTGGGGTCCTGATTAGTGTCTTCTTTAATCTCTCCTGGGAGAAGTACATATATCCCTGTATATCATCTTAGTGGTGGTGGGAGAGGGCTTAGCTGAATTGATGGAAACAGCCCTACAGAAAGGTATCCATAACCTGCAGCACTGTGTTGGGGATGTGGGGTTGGGTCACCCCTGGATTGTGATGCACGTTGCTCCAGTCTTCTGTAGTTCTCTGTATCCAGGATTGTTATTAGTATCTTCATTAATCTCTCCTAGGAGAAGGAGGCATATCCCTATACATCATCTCAGGGACAGTTCTGGTCCTCTCTAGATGTCTGGGATGTGCTGGAAGGGATTCCAGGCTGAGAGTGAGGAAGAGAAAGCTTTTCATTGCAGGATGTCACTGGGACTTCACATAGCTGGGGTGCAGGGTTGTTGTCACTCTTGGTGCTTTCATGGGAAAGGAGAGGAGACAGGGGGAAGAAAAAGATTTTGTTAACTCTCCTGCTGCTGAACAGCCTCCCACTGCCCATGAGGTCTCACAGGTATCAATTAATTGCATGGACTACAGCACACCAAACCGAGCAGCAAAGCTATCAGAAACTGGTCCTGAGCAAACACCATTAGAATTGCATAATCCAGACACAGTCCTGCTACAGTGTGACTGGCAGATCTGATGGGATGGCAAAGCATGATGTTTTTTGCTTTATTTTAGAGGGGAAAAAAATAATGATAGAGACATTCCCTGGTGGTAAGGTGATAACAGATTGAAGTTACTGGAAAGACTCTCATGGACTGCAGTGCAGTTGGGTCAGTCCCCCTGATGCTCTGTGGAGGTTCTGCAGTCCTTTGAACTCGATCTTATTTCAGTGGTTCTGTTAATGCTGCGTCTCGTGTATTGATGTGGCATTGCATTTGAAATAGAGTCACTTTTAATTCACAACCATACAGCTCAGGCACAGGAAAAATATTGTGGTATGTGTTCAGCAACATATTTGGTGCTGTGCAGCCATTCTACAGAGTGCATTTAACTGTGTTTTGTGTATTATTCTTAACATGCATTCACACTAGACAGCAAAGCAGCAGTTATGGGGTCTGCTATGAATGCATATTAACGGCAGTAGGCATTTGCATATCATGGATCCATAATACAAAACGCGTAGTAAAATCCTTATGAAAAGTTATTATGCATGCACAGTAAAAGCTTTTTAAACCTTGATATCTCCGTTATTTTGTTTCTCTGCTATTTATTTGAAAATATTAAAAAGGTCAAATGATGGATTAAGAATCTGCAAAAATGTAACGTTACTACAACAGAGGGAATCCTACAACACAAGCTAATTTTTTTATTTTTTTAATTTTTTTTTGGTAGCAGTATTAACCATTCAAAAATGGATTTTAAAATAGAAATTGAGTGGTTAAAAGAGAACATGGAGAAGATTTTTTTATAAAAGTATTTTTTGGAGATTGCTGTAAATTTCTACAGCTCTTCCCTCAGCACAGAGGCACTACAATGTCAACCTTTCCTTCAATTTGTTCTAATATTTTTAGTATGCATTGAAACAAGGTTCAGATCCTCAGGACTTTGCATATTTAGATTACTGTGCATTGTACAATACTCTGAATATGCAAAATCCTTGAGAAGGTTGACAACCCTTAGGACCTTGCACAATGTAAATCTTAATACATAAATTCCTATTGAGAATCACAGGATTCTATCCACTCTGTAACACAGATTGCAGTATTTAGGATAAAATGAAATGAATGTTGTGAGTACTACCGCCCTTACTCCTTTTGAACAGGTGCCACTGAAGTTTTAGAATCTTCCTCACTTTAAATACATTTAAAAATTAAAAGCACACAAAAAATAAAAATAATCTTTAAAAAGAGGTCTGAGCTCTGTAGAAAGTGAATGATCTGATAGTCCTGGCTTCTGTTAAAAATAAGGAAGCACACATACACAAACACAAAGTTTGGAGGAGGGATTTTTTTTTTTCTAGTGCAGGTCCCTAAAATTATTGAGCACGTATACATGGATGTATTCAGCACACCTTATTCTGCTGCTGCTCCTTTTTTTTTTTTTTTTTCTTTTTCTTTTTTTTTCCTGCGTTAAAAAAAATGCCCAGATTTAAATGAAACTTTGTGAAAACAAAATAATTGGATCAGGACCGAGAACATTAACACCGAGCTTGGGCCCAATGTGAATTAAAGCAGATGAGTTATAAACCCTTCAGAAACAGGATTTATAACTGAAACGCTGACACAGACCTATAACAATAGCAGCTCTGCCAGGGATTATTTTAATACTAAAAGCATACTCAGGCTCTCACTTTTTAAAATAGAGATTACTTAGTCGCTACAAAGCAGTGAGACATGGTAATAAAAGCAAACTTTCAGAAAGATGACATGCTATCCCCCCCCCCCCGGCAACTCGCTTGACATTGCCTCTGTGCAGCACAGCACACCTAAGGAAATAAAATGCAACAATAAAACCCAAATCAAAGTGGAGTTTGCCATCGGCTGCATGGCCGGGCTGAGTCAAGTGGCTCCGTCAGCTCCGGTTAACAGCTTCTTGTCCAAGGGAACAGACAAAAGAGTTAAGGGAGCCGAAATGGGAGGCGAGGAGGCGGCGGAGGGAGAAAAGGGCACGAGGACAGAGCCGCAAACGGGCACATGGATGCAGCGATCAGAAGGGAGGATGCTCCCAAAGCCCAGCCCTGGGGCTTAAGATCACGGGGGGACACTGCAAGCACCCCGAATCCTCACCCACACCAGGGTGGGTGCAAGGAATGAATTGCTGCAGTTGCAGGCGAACACACGTCACTAGAAAAAGCAACACTTCTGAAACCTTGGCGTCGTGTGTCCAGTCATCCTCTGTTGCTTTTTGGTTTTTTTTTTTGTTTTTTTTTTTTTTTGGGGGGGGGGGGATGGTGGGGGAAGGTCAAAAAATGATGAAAGTCATGATTTCTTAGAGGCAGTGGGGGATTTGCCGCTATTAGCCTGCATTCTGGGGCAACACAGTGTACTTCAGTGGCAAAGACATGAATAAGCAAATAAAAAGAAAGGCGGAAAGAAAGAAAGGCAGAAAGAAAGAGAAAAAGAAAGAAAGAAAATGAGGAAAAAAAAAGAAAGAATGGACATTAAAACAGCAAAACAAAACAAAAACACAACAAAAAAAACTCACGCCCCAAATTCGCTTGTAATAGCATCACTTTCTGTGACTCTGCCATAGCACCAATATTACATCCTGATTCCTTCCTTCCCCTCCCCTTTATTTTTTTTCCTGGGTACCAGGTGCACCAGAGGGATCCGATCAGTACAAGACAGCACTTTTTGTATAAACAATGCCACATTAAGAACTACAGGGCAGCCGTACCTGTAGTCAGGGATAGCACCAAATGTTGGCACATCTATCCGTGCAGCTAGACTGCTAGAAAGAAGCAGCTCCAGTGGAAAAGCACCTACTGTATGTGCAACGCTGGCGCAGATTTTTTTTTTTTCTATCAGTCTAACCTTCTGTGTTGATACATGAATGCTGGTACCCACTTAGAGGGATGCCAGATGATCAGTGCAGAATGAAGGTCCCAGGAGAAAGGCTCACGTGGTTTTCTCTGCCCCGTGACGTCACTAGCAGATGGCATGGGTACCAGCTCTGGCAGTTGGCATCAATGTCACTTTTTAGAGATCAATGAGATAGTGCAGATATACACAGATCTAGGCTCCAGGAGACGATGCGACACTCAGACTGAAAAGATTTGGAAGGCAAAAAATGAAAACTGATTGTTGAATGAAATAAAAAGCTAAGGTAATGCAAATAAAGATATATTTCAGTTGGTGTTGGGTGTGCATGCAAGTGTTTAAAGATACAGTATCATTGTCTTGTATTTTATGTATGCTATTAACTGTCTGATAACTCCTGCTAACATTTTATTCTTCTGATGCAATTGCTTACTTTTGTTGGTGTTATGTAATGTTGCAAGTGTGTAGACAATACTGCTGGACTTAATCTTTTACTGGGGTTTTTGTTTAGTTTTATTCTATTTAAAAGTCCGTGCATTCGTTTTGTCTCTTGGAGGACAGTGTGTCCAAGCATTTACGGCTCCCAAACTGAAAACAAAAGCAGAAATAATCAGAAGGGGGGGAATTATTTCCCTGTCTCAGCTTGGGTTGCGAGCACACGTGCACGACTGCAGCCAGAGCCCAGAGCCCGCTGCTGTCAGCCAGGGGCTGGGGAGACGCCTGAGCCTCACTGAACATAAACACTGCTACAGCGTGCAGGGAAATATTTCCCTCTCTAATTGGCGGGGCAGGAGGAAAAAAAACAAAAAGACTGAATTAAAAAAGAAAAGAAAATGAGCAGATAAGTTCATTCAAGGTAAATGCAAAATAAGATTTAGAATTTTTGCTGGGAAAAAGAAAAAAAAAAGGTAGGGAGATTTTATTTCCTAACTCTAACCTGAATACGTTCAGGGTTTGATCCTTCCTGATTTTTGTCTTGTAGTGAAATATGCAATGTGCAATTTTCATAGAAATTATTAGAAATAAAAAATACTTTTTTTTTTAATGTTACTAGCTGAGAAATTTGGGGGGAGTTCCATTAATATTTTTTTTTTTACCCGGTCTAACTTGCGAGAGTTTAATATCTTGATTCAGAAAGAGGGAAATGTGGAGGGACAAAAACTCGGAAATCTAAGTCAAAAAGTGATCCTGAGACATTTAGTGTAATAAAGATATGGTACTTCTCAGTTTTAGGACTGCACTCACTCTATTTTTTTTTTTTCACCCAGGGGAATTTGTAGTAATGAAATTTATGTGTTGCTTTATCATGTTTTGCATTTCTTTGAGTTCCATGGTGGTGAGGGTTTAAAGGGCTTGTTTAAAAATAAGACAAATGAGCAGGGAGCTAATCATACGTTTTAAATATTGGTGTACTCTATAATAACTGTAGGAGACATGGCTTTTTAGTTGTGAGATACTGAGCTTTTCAAGTGATTTTAAAATTCTGGACAGCACTTGATTTTTAATAAGCAAGCATTTGCAATTGATACGTTACAAGAAAAAAGCATAGATTGTTCATTTATACACACGCACTCCTGTATGTACAGAGCACATACAGACAAATGCAAGGTGCATGAGAACGGGTGTGTAATTCGGCAAATTTTGTAAATGGAAATATTTAAATATTGTGCTGGCCCTCTTTCAGGTAACTTAAGATTATAGAACCATGCTAACACTACCGTTTGATGAGTCTGTTGTAATGCCAGAATCCCAGATGTGCAGAAAGTTTTCCAGAGAAAGCGATGACCAAAAGCAAATAAAGAACCCGGAAAGCTTTTCGAAGCAGATCATACTCCGAGGGAAGAATATTAAAAGGTCTCCTGGAGAAGACACAGAGAAAGAGGAGGAAGAGGAAGAGAGGGAGGAGGAGGATGAAAACGGCTTGCCCAGGAGAAGAGGCCTTCGGAAAAAAAAGACGAGCAAGATCAGGATGGAAAGGATCAAATTCAGGCGACAAGAAGCCAACGCGCGTGAGAGGAACCGGATGCACGGCCTTAACGACGCTCTGGACAATTTAAGGAAAGTGGTCCCTTGCTATTCTAAAACACAAAAACTGTCAAAAATCGAAACGTTGAGACTAGCCAAGAACTACATTTGGGCTCTTTCCGAAATTCTGCGAATTGGCAAGAGACCTGACCTGCTCACCTTTGTCCAGAACTTGTGCAAGGGTCTGTCCCAGCCAACGACAAACTTGGTGGCGGGATGCCTGCAGCTGAACGCCCGAAGCTTCCTGATGGGCCAGGCAGGTGAAGGTGCCCACCATGCCCGCTCGCCTTACTCTACTTTCTACCCCCCCTACCACAGCCCTGAGCTTGGCACCCCCCCAGGGCACGGGACTCTCGACAACTCCAAGTCCATGAAACCCTACAACTACTGCAGTGCGTATGAGTCCTTCTATGAGAGTACTTCCCCCGAGTGTGCCAGCCCACAGTTTGAAGGTCCCTTAAGTCCTCCCCCAATTAACTATAATGGGATATTTTCCCTGAAGCAAGAAGAAAGCTTGGACTATGGCAAAAATTACAATTACGGCATGCATTACTGTGCAGTGCCACCCAGGGGTCCCCTTGGGCAGAGCTCGATGTTCAGGTTGCCTACAGAGAGCCACTTCCCTTACGACTTACATCTGCGCAGCCAGTCTCTCACCATGCAAGATGAATTAAATGCAGTTTTTCATAATTAATGAGGAAAATGAAAATAAACAGTGGTCATTCACCTCCCCATCTAATTAAGAGCAAGCAGATGCTTGGGCACTGCGTAATTGGCACAACTCTATTTAACGTGTTTACTAGTTTCTAAAGTGTGTTTCAACTATTGTGGGGATTTTCTATGTATTAATAAATCCCTTTTCCAATAAGCATTTTTCCTTTTTTTGTTGGTTTTTTTTTGTTTGTTTGTTTGTTTTTTTTTTTTGGTCTGTAAACACTGTGAAATTATGTTTCTTCCCAGAGCTTATTTCCTCCTTCCTTTTTTTCTTACCCCCCTACTTGCTTGATTTGTTGAGCAGTGTGTCTGAACAGCACCGCCGAAATAAAAGCATACACACTGTGTAAAGTCAGTGTCTATTTTGATTGTACAGTAATTATACAAATGCATGTTATTGAAATCAGATGAATAAAAATGATGTATTTATAATTGGTAGAAATTATATATTATGTATTTGAAGGGTTTAAAAATATTCAGAACTTTAAAGAAATTCTCAGAACTGAGATGGGCTTGCAATATGCAGAGGTGAGAGAGCAGCAATATTGAAAGCTATGCAAAAAACACATACAAAAAAAAAAAAACAAAACAGATTTTCTGGTGGTTGTTTTTGGGTAAGATAACAAAAAAAAGCAATGACTGTCACTGAAATTATTCAACCTGGCCTTTAGAGTGTTGTTGGCAGGGGCCACATGCTAATATTTTAGAAGATGTTGTTGAAATTTTGCCTCAGTTATTTTGACCATATATAATCAGCACTTTTTTGTATTATTCTGACTTCAGATGTAAAGGTTTGTTATAACAATGTATAACTGTGGTTTCTCACTACGTATTTTAAATGCAATTAAACATAGATGTTTCCACTTTTAAAATACATCTATTAGCTGTGATGCTGTATTTTGCCTGATACTTATTATTTCACAGTATACAGTTGCCTTTGGTCTTGTCTATATAGCTTTCTGCCCTGCTCCCCTATCATGCTTGAGCCTGGAGATGGAAATCATGATTTATCAAGGCAAGCTTCGCTCGACTTTACATCAGCCACACAGCAAACCAGACCCAAAACAGCACAGCTGTATGCTGTGTGTTAAATGAAACACAGATTAGGGGAAGAAGGTAACTTTATAGCTCAACGAAACACAGATTCTCCATTTCATATGGGCAGGGCTCTGAGTGCACACGCAGGTCACAGGCTGCCCTGAACACAGCCAAATTCAACCTTTGTTAACAAAGAGCAAAAAGTACCAAAATGCTACACTGTGACAGAGTAGGGAATCCCTCTTTAAAAATACTTGGAAAGTGTAAGTTCCACTTTCAAGTTAGAGACCCTGGGTTGCATCACAGCTGGGACCTCAACATGTTTGCATCACAAGAACCTCAGACCCTCATTCGAGAGACAGCTTGACAAAGAGGGGACGTTATAACTTGTCTAATTTCACATGTGTCTTGTCACACATTGCTTCTCCTTTAGGACGACAGCCATCTGGAGTCTCTCTCTTCTCAAGAGACCAGACCCAAAGTTCCAACACTTGGATCGTGGTCTGAATGTGCTCATGCAGGAGAAACACTGGACATGCAGTTTTGCTCAGCCATCATCTTTTCTAGATATAAATGTCAAGCCCCAAACAGGCCTTCTGGAAGCACAGTTTTGAGCTGTGGTTCATGAGATTGGCTCAGGATTATCCCATCATTTAGTGTCAGGGCTGGGAAGAACTAAGCAGCAGTTCTTTATCTGGTGACGGGTATGAGTGTTGGGTCAAAAATATCCCTGGTCTTTTTGCACTGAATAGGCGAGAGGCTTGGGGAAAGAGAGTAGGGTAAAACATGGGGGAGGAGGGGGATATGTCCTCCTGCCAAACAGCAGGCTGCATCTCAAAGCCCTACTACAGCAGGCCATAACTTTGGCACCTTAGGGCTGTGGTGCTGGGCTGGAGCATAGTGCATCCACATGGGCAGCAGGCAAAGCGAGGAGGCAGCTGTAAAGTTTTGCACTGAGGGAAGGAGATGCATGTCAGGATGCATTTAGCAGGCAACCAAGGGGGGTGCAAGCACGTTGAGCTCCGCAATGTGGGGGTCTCCAGCTCCGTGGCCCTATATTAACTTCAGAACTCATGGGCCACTTCCAGTTTTCCCTGATGGCAGCAGAACCAAGAGGAAGGGGGAGGAAAAATACCCCCTCCCTGCCAGTCTGGATCTTCCTCGCTCAGTCCATGACAGATGGGGAAGGAATTCACAGCCAGATTCCCCCTCTGGTAGCTCAAGGCAGGCACCACACTTGCTCAGGGCATTGCAAATTGAAAAGCCAGTCCAGAATAAATAATGGAGCAAGTCATAGAAAAATATTGAGTTTGCATTTAAAAAAAAAAAAAAAAAAAAAAGACATTCCCTGTCTGAGAGGGTATGGATTATTTAGAGATACCAAGATAGGGAATTCCCTGGAAGGCAGGTTCTCTCACATACCATCCCTGTCACAAACACAACAGATATTTCTGTGTGCCTTAGCTGGCTCAGTGCAGAATATAAGGGCTCTAAAGAAATTTATAAAAGCCTTTGAAGTTGCCTTGTTTTAAAGACCAAATTCAAGCATGAAGAAAGCCAAGAGTGCTTTAAACCTACAGGAATAAAAGCCAGTGGGTTTCTTTACCCTGCCTGCACATTATAGGGTTTCATTCATACAGTAAAACAAAGCTGTTCATTTCTGCCTGCCTTGTTCTTCTCTTAACTACCTTCCCCTCTTTGAAGACAGGGATATGTAAAACAGTGACTGCTCCAGAAAAATTCGGTCAGAAGTTTCTATTCATCCTCGTCCCTTAGTGTGGAATGAAACCTTCTGACAAATGTTAAGGTGGGAAGCTCAAATCTGACAGAAAAAAAAAGCCATTTCTTTCGTGATTTTGTTACACATTTATATGCCATATATTTTCTCCCCGAGTGACATTTGGGTTAGATTTTTAAAAAACATTATATGTTGTTATGATATCAGAAATATATTATTTACTAATGGTCGTACTGGTTCAGATTAAACATCCATAAAAAGACATCCTAAGTCTGAGCAGAGTGAAAAAAATATATATACATATACTTCTTTCACTAATAAAAACACCAGAAAAAAAATACTGCTCCAGGACTTCAGGCATCTCTGTCAAAGACAGAGATGGGAGGCACAGCAGCATACCTTGGGGTTTGTACCCTTTCCTCTGTAGCACTGGGCTAATCAGAAATCCCAGGCTAGGGTAGTGCCAGGCTGTACCTCTGGACTAATTCTTCAAATATTGTAGGAGTTAAATTCAACCAGCTGCTCCAGCTCTGTATCCCTACAAGACCCAGCACAGCGCCAAGCAGAGAGGGAAGGACAACATCATTTTGCCAGACCTTGGATGAGATTTTAAAATCTCCTCTGCCTTACAGTAGGAACACACTCATTTTAGGACACATCCTGGCTGTGCTCCCTTTGGGATCATCTGTGTTCTTTCACTTCATAGCTATTTGCACAGAGATTTTTAAAATGCATGGATACAAAAGTGGTGGCAGGTTTTTCTAGCAACTCCCTCTCCTATTTTTACCCCTACTTCCCTCTTTTCTTCTCCCCTTTGCCTGTAGGGCTCTCAAATGGCAGCAAATTAAGTGAAATGCCATCAATAAAGATGAATGAAATCCCGGTGAACCACATGGCAGAATCTTTTCTTGCAGAAGCAAATAACACTTGCCTAAATTAAAAGGAGCTGTGTGGTTTTGTTTCTCAGATTGTGAATCGAGCCAAACTCAAGCCTATAGTTATAATTTCCAATCCATAGTCAAGGTCAAGCAGGTTTATTCAAGATACCAAAATCCTGCAGCTTTTTTTAGGTACGTGTAGCAGTGATGGTAATGCTTTGGGCTGAATTGTCAGGAAGGCAATTCTCCTTATACGATTTCAAACTTCCAAAAAAGAAATACATAAAAATAACAAACAAAAAGCAAACCAACCCCAAACCAACAAAGAAACAACAGCAAATCCCCTATAAACCTGGCCGTGGGTCTGACCCAGAGCTGAACCGCGGCAGCAGGTTGTGATTTTGCTCTGGAGAGAAACAGATCAGTGTGGCGAACAGCTGGCACCACGCCACAAGAGAATCTCAAGGGCAGACCTGTCGTGCCTCGCTGATACAAATCTAACTGCCATACGTGGGGCTGCCACGCAGAATCGTGCTCCCAAGCCCTCTCCCCTGCACCATGCGAGCTGAGCAAGCTGCCCCACTCAATTCTTTCATGCTATGCCAAGAGGATAGCCTATTTTTCTGCAGAGCCTTCCCTCTTGCCCCAGAGGATGTGCAAGAATGAGCGAGCAAAAGGGAAAGGAAAGCCAGATTCATAAAGAGGAGAGATATGTATTATCATTTTTTTTTAATGCATGAGAGGTGGATTAAAAAAATGACCTGCAACTTGCTTTGCACTGGCATCAGTTCCAAAGATTCTGAGCTGTAAAGAGGTTTTCTCTCCCTTCTCCCCAGAATGTTCTTTTCTCTTGGCTGCTTTCCTTTGTCACTGGCTCCTCGGGATTTCACATTTATCTCTGTGCTATTTGCACTATTTAATTCTAGGACACCACGTATGTATGCGCCATATGGAAACAAGGCATATTCTAGCTTTAGCTGAAATATTGAACTAGTCAAGAAGGATAATAATATATATCTGTATATTCGGAACAGAAAAGCAGCCTTTATGGTCTGTTTTCCCAGCATATTCAGCATAGACCTCCCACCTCCACTAGTGAACATTGTCCTAGTTCTGATGTTCTGGGTCTTTTACTTCATTTCTGTGGGATGTTAGTAATCAGGCTATTTTATTCTTTTCTGGATTGAAATTGATTAGTATCTAAAGTAAGACTTTTCAAACTGATGAAATTTCTTGGTCTAAATGAATACCTGCACATAAAAGGTTATAAATCCTAGGATTCCTGGATAATTCTGTTTGCGAAATGAAAATGATGATCACCAACTG